CAATGCAGTATGTGGGGGAAATCTGTCTCTCTGATACTAGAGAGAGGTCAGAGATCTGCAGGATCTACCCAGGACACAGAAAGCCCCACAGTCTCATGCAGATCTCCCTCTCCCTGCATCACAATGAAGCCAGGTGCCCAGGGCTGGAATCCAGGAGTGGATCCCCAGCACTCACCAGAGCATTTACATGCTGGGGTCAGCGCTGGTAGCATGGCACTTCTGTGGGAAAGTCCCCTCTGTGGCAGGGTGTTTGGACCTCTGACCCAGCAGGTCCTTGAGCACAACAAATGCCTGGCACTTTTTTGGCTGGTGTAGCTCCTGCGTGGCCTAGGAATGATCTCCCAGGGTTATTTCTGACTCACAGGACAGGAAACATTTCGGGGTTTAAGCCGAGCTGAATAATGTGCTCATTTCCTTGTGCTGACTACAAAGCACCTGCTCCAGGGGATTTATGGAGTGCCGGCCTCTCACACTCACTGCGTGGCAGCATGCCCGGATGTTTGTATTTTCCCGGCATGGCTAGCAGGTGCCAAGGCCTGTTTTCCTAAACACCCCATGCCCTCATGGCACGTTTCCTTGAAGCGACCCCAGGCAGAGCCGTAGGCTGCAGCACACCTACAGTGCTGGGATACCCAGGGTGCTGGAGAGCCAGGGTGGCTGCCAGCACCCTGCCAGGGCTGAGGGTAGCAGGGATGCATGGCTAACCCATTGGTGCCAAAGCTTGGCCTGGCACAGAGCAGTCACAGCTGGGATAAACAGCCTGGGAGAGTGCCAAAGGGTAATTGATAAGGATGGAGCATGTGGGCAAGCAAGGGAGGATAAGACTATGTGAGAGAGGGCAAGAGGACATGAGACCCTGAATGAGCCATGGCGTGGGCCTGCCCAGAAGACAGAGCACATCCCATGGCAGGGGACCCATAGGTATTATCCCAGAGCTGGTCCTGTCTCATGGCAGGGGACCCACAGACATTATTGCACAGCTGATCCTGTCCCATGGCAGGGAACCCACAGACATTATCCCACAGCTGAACCTGTCCCATGGCAGGGGACCCACAGACACCATCCAAGCAGGGCTTGTAGAGCCCCTGGGAAATACTGCACCCAGTCCGTGGGATGGGAACATCTCCACTGCAAAGATGTCAGGATGTGGGTGCTGAGATCCAGGGACACCCGTGGGGGATGCAGAGCATGCCAGGACACCTCTCAGCCCATGCTACTTCACTGGCAGCAAGCTCCATCCAACAGGCAGCAGAGTAAAGTGATATTGAGTTTTTCATCATGTCCCCTCTGCTTTTTCTCCTTTTGGAGCAAGTCTTATTACTGTGGGAGCTGGGTCTGATTCCACCTGCTCACCAGCCTATGTAAGCTATCTCCCCTGGCTTACTGGCTGTGGACTGAAGGATGCCAAGAGACAGCCGTCATTCCCTGGGTAGACCTCTGACCCCTCCAGTTCCCCTGCCCAGCTCCTGGCTGCCCAGCTCTCTCTGACCCCTCTGCTCACGTCTCCCCAGGTGAGTGGACGGTCTCCACCTGCACCTGCCCTGGTGCCCTGGTGCCCTGGAGACTCAAGGTGCTGGATGAGGAGAGGTGCCCACATCCCAGAGCTGCCCCAGCATCGGAGGCAGCACCAAGGCAGCTTAGTCCAGTGATAAACTGGGGTTGGGTTTTTTAGTGGTTTGGGGTTTTTTTGCTGTTTAAAGCGAAAATAAAGTACTTGTGGGAAGCAGGAGCCAATCTCCCCAGTGCCTAAAACAGCAATCGCAGCACTTCCTTGGATTTATGGTGTTTGCTTTCACAATGCCAGCCGGGATCCTGTTTGCTTCCTGCTCTGCAGCTGCAGTCCCAGCTGAAGACTCAGGAGATTCAAGTTTTATAACCCTCCTGGATCCTGTTGATGGCAACTTGTCCAGCATGGTTAATTACCCTCTGAGCCTCCTTGGGTCTAGGGTGGGCTGTTGTCACCCCATCACAGCACCCATTGACATAGGTGCTGGTCCCTGTCTGTCACATGGTCCCACCCCTGGCACTGGGGGCTCAGAGAGCAGTTCTGCAGAGGCAGTACCCAGTCTTTGCTGGGAGACAAGGCCGACAGTGCTGTGCCCTTGGTAGGGTGCAGCATCCAGCTCTTCTCAGGCACAGCTACAATCTAAGAGCCAGGCCAGGCAGGAGAACTCAGTCTTGCTGGAAGGATGCTGAGACAAGGATGCTCAAAGGTGGTGACTGCTCCTCACTGCCATGCCTAGACAGGCAGTCAGTTCCTGCTGTCAGCCTCTGCCTGATAAATCAAGCTGACTGAACTTCCAGGGAGGCACTTGTTCCAGTCACTATATCCCTTCTGCAGGTCTTCCCTGGGTCTCAGTTTCCCCTGAGATGTGAGACCAAAACTGGCTGTGTCCTTTCGGAGTCTGCAGCAAAATCTCCTCTGCAATGCACAGGCTGGCACAGTGGGACAGGGTGTCAGCCACAGCATCCCTTGAGAACCCAAACTGAAGCTGTCAAACACTGAGTCCAACTCTAGCTGCTGCTTTCCAAGCTACAAGTCCCGTCCCATACGAGCTGGACCAAAATGCTCTGAATCAATCATGGGAGGGTGTGTGCTGGGGCCAGGTGGGGTCGCAGGGATGCAAAAACGGGGGAAGGAAAGTGGTGAGAAGGGAGAATAGCAGGACCAACAGGCTGTGGAGGACCACCATCCCCATCCCCAATGCACAGTCACAGTGTGGAGGGTGTTCCACATGCCAGATCCCTCTGCAACATGCCAAGGGGTGTCCTGATCCTCTTTCCTCCTTCCCTGCATTTTCCCAGCAAAGTGCTTTGATGAAAAACCGAAAGGCCATGAATGGCCTGGTAGCCTTAACCTTCTCTTTGGTAAACCAGAATGGAAACAAAAAATCCTAGTAATGCCTCCCCATGTCCCTGACAGAGCAGTAGCAATGCCCCTGCACACAGCTGAGAGATGCTGTTTCCCCAGGTTTTCCATACCCTTCTGGAAGCCTGTCCAAATCCTGTGGGCCTCCGAGTGAAACCCCCCACTTTTGTTTAATATTTTCAGTTCTCAATGATGGATTATTTCTTTGCAGTTACTCGCATGCCAGACTTCTTCATCCAAACACACAACAGGGATATTAATTTACCACTCTGACGACAAACGCTTTTATCCTCCTTATATAGTAACAACTCAGCACCAAAGGACAAGATCCATTTGTCACTGATACACTCCACCATACCAGCTCACAGCCCTGTGATCAGCAGGTCATTCATGGGTGCCCAGAGCTTCTCTGATGAATTGTCAGTCTTTCTCAACAGATCCCACCCTGGCTGCCACCTGGCCACCCCATCGAGGAGCACAGCATCATCCAGGGCAATATGAGAGGGCTGGGGTAAGTCTCCAAGGGGAAGAGGGGATGCAAAGCCAGTGCTGCTCCCTTGGAGGCAAGAGCACAAGATGCAGGATGGGGATGCAGTGGGATGGTGAGGGGGCCCAGAGTGCTAAAATTTGGCTTCAAATCCAAAGATGGCAAATCCAAAGCGGATAAAAGGAAGCAATTTTTTTTTTCTCACTCCTTGCTTAATTAGGTTGCCACAGGAAAACGCTCAGGCCAAAATTTAGCAGGATTCAATGAGGGATTGAGCACTTACAGGGATAACAAAAATATCCAGCTATAATAGTGGATGCCAATACAAATTCTGGAAGGGATATTAAGCCTCACGCATCAAGGTGCAAACTTACTCCAAACTCTCAGAAAGAAGGGAGTTTAACTCGGGGGCAGATGGCCCACATATGCCACCGCTACTGATGCTGCCTCGTTGCCAGCACGGCCCCGTATTGGACGAGCCACTGGCTGGCTCCCCAGAACCCGTTTCCTGCTGCCGGCAGCACCTCTGACAAGGGCTGTGAATTTCTTTTGGCAATTCAGCCCTTTGCTTGTAGCTCTTCAGGGCCATGTGTGTCCCAGGGCTCTGACCTCCTCCATCTCGCCCATCCCCTCACTTTGCCAGCTGATTAACAGTCTTATCACTTCTATCAAGAGGTAGTCCCTCTGGGTAATGGTCTGTGGTCCACAGGCACACCCCTGGTTGGTGTGGCTCCTTGTTTCCAGACAAGCCTCTCGTTCCCCTCTCAGGTCACTCATTGCCCCAAAGCACTTCTTCCATCTGATTTCATCTGTCCTATTCCCTGTTTCTGCTGGAGCTGGTTGCCAGCCTCTAAAAGGGGCTGCTCAGCTCCAGTGTCTTGTGGGTGCTGCATGGACAAAGACAGGCACTTTTCATATGAT